ACGAGGGGTGCCGCTGGCTGGTGGAGGAGCCCCTAGCTTTCTGCCTGGCCCTGGCCAGGACCAGAGTGGCTGGGAATGCGGCCCTCACCCCTCCTCCCCTGGGCTTTCCTCCTGGGCCCCTGGGCTGGTCCTTCTCACGGCCCAGGGAAGTGCTTATCCCTGCCCTAGGCTATGCCATTCAGACTGTGGGTGTGCGTCCCACAAGTGCCGGGGTCCCACTCGTCTCTGGGGCCGACGGAGGGATCAGAGACCCCAGGAGGGGCTGCTGGGGCCCAGCCGGGTGAGCCCGAAGACCCGGCCGTCCTCACTGTGGCGGCTGGAACTCCCGGCCCCTCCTGCCTGGACGGTGTCAGGCTGTGTCCTGATTTGTTTGTGCTCACCTGCCATCTGTCACATGGAGATGAGGATACTTCCCTTCTGAGGAGGCGGCCCTGGTGACTTGAAGTGCGTGCATGGTGGGTGGGTGCTGTACGTGGTGAGCTGCTCCTGGCTCAAGCAAGACAGGCCTGGGCGCCCTTCTTCCCTCTGGGTTCGGTGGCCGTGCACTGACTGTGCCCCATGACTCATGCTGTGGGTCAGGGCCTTGCCTGCCACGCGGGGGCTGTTGGAGGGTGGCAGGACTCCCTGTACCCACAGGGAGTGGCTGATGCCAGGGCCTTCTGCCCTCTCACTGGGCCATGAAAAAGGCCTTGGCGGATGGCTGGGGAGGGGCCCCCGCCCACGGGACGCTCCCACTGAGCCCCTGTGGGCCCTGGCGCCAGAGGCACGGCGCCAACTCAGTGAACCTCCCAGCCTTTCTAGGGAGGAGGCTTGGGCTGGTTGCCTTCCACAGCCGAGGCTCAGCGAGGCTGAACCCTGTGGATGTTTGCAGGAAGAAGTTCTGGAGCTGGCCACGGGGCCACACTTTGTCATTCCTGCCACCTGCCCCCCCCCTCCCTGCCCTGCCCTGTGGTGTGCCCTCCAAGGCACTTTAGCTCCACTCACATCTGACCTTGGGTTGAGGACGTGGTGAGAGGAAGCTTTGATAGGAGGTGACTGGGCGTGGCACTGATAAGGCTGTTGGGGCTGTTAGCTCTGTGACTGCCTCTGCTTCCTGGGCCTCTGTGTGTCCCGTCCTCTGCCAAGTTATCAAAGGCTCCCCTTTGTTTATCCCAGAGCGAGTGTGCCTGATAAGTGTGTGATGAGTGTAGGTGGAACTGACTAAGGTGCCCTCCCCCAGTAACCCTGGACAGCGTGTAAATCCTGGCCTGTGCCGCCAGGCCCTCCTCCTCACCCAACTCCTGCTCATCCTTCAGAACCCAGCACAACTGTCCTGCCCAGCTTTCCTGAGTTGCTGCTGGGCCAGCCCCACCTGGACACCTGGAGTCCCCTGTGTCCCTCAGTGGTCTGCCTGTGAGCTCAGCACAGGGGAGGCCCCACTAATCATGTGTGGAACGGATGGGGTGGGAGATCTGTGTCCCAAGCCTCATGGCCTTGTCCCAGCTCCTGTTCTGGGGCAGGGGGTGCCCAGCTTGTTTTTCCCTGTGGTAGCCACACTAGGAGCTCCTTGAGGATGGGGACCCCAGGCCACATCCCTCATGGATGAAATGGGGGTATGTGCAGTGAGGATGGCATGTGGTCAAGGCCAACCTCGCCCATCAGTCTTCCCTGGGCCTCGGCCATGCTGCGGCCTTGTTGTTCCTCCCATTTCCAAGGTAGGGGCACTGGAGCACCGAGAGCTTCAGCAGCCTGAGGTCCTGCAGAGTGGGGAGACCGGCTCAGCCTCAGGCTTCTGTGCTGTCACGCTGTCACGCCCTCCACCCCTCAGGGCTGAGGGCTTTCTGTACATTACCCTTCCATTTTGCCTGGGAGGAGCCTGAGACTGAGACGCAGGGTGTTTCGTTTAGGGTCGTGTCTCTGCCCTCAAAGCCCACAGCTCAGATGAGCAGCAGCCTTGTGGCTGTCCTGTGCTTAGCCCTGTGTGGGTGTCAGGGACACAGAGATGACTGGAAGACTGTCCCTGACCTCAAGCTCTTCCTTCAGGGTAAGGGAGCGAGGCGCACAGGCACATCACATAGCAGTGGGGAGGGTCCCAGGCTCTGAGTGGTACAGAGTGTTTGGAGGGAAGGAGAGATCAGGGACAGTTCACACTGATGTCACCGAAGTAAGGTTTTGAAGGATGCATAGGAGTTTGCCACGTGCAGGTAGAGTGTGCGCATCTGTGACTTCTGTCTCGCATCTTGGGATGCCATCAGCCTGGACCCGGTGTGAGGGCTGGTGGTGTCAGTCAGGCCCGTCCTCCAGCTGTGTGAAGGCTGCTCTGCAGGCCTTTTAAGGATTTGCCGTTTCTTGAATATCATGGGCCAGGTACTGCTCTGCACTTCATAGACATGATCTTTGTAATCCTTGGTGAGGGTGCCAGTGTTCACTTCATTTTGTAGACTGAGGCTCAGAGAGTAGCTGTCCCTTTTCCCAGGGGTCTTCTCACTGATGGCTGGAGTCTCACCTGGGCTGGAGAATCTCCCCGGTTCTCCGGCTGTCGGTGCAGGGCACACAGCAGTGTTTGGGAACTGGGTCGAGAGTGTGTCTGCCTCTGCACACCTTGGGAGCCCTGGGGGCCAGTGTGGGAGGAGTAGACCGGGGACGTTTGCTGGCTGAGTGTCTGTCTTCCTGGGGAGAGGGACAGCAGGGCGTGGAGGGGTGTCCTGCCTGGTGCTCCTGCCTTGGGAGCTGGCCAGCCCCTGCCCTGTTTCTGGGAGCTTCTGGCTCTCTCTGGTGGCTCTGGTAGACTTCTGGGAATTCTTTTCCAGCCGGTGGTCTAGTCCTGTCTTTCGATGGGGGGATGCTGTGGGGCAGGCGCCTGAGCAGAGGGGCTGAGTCGCCCACCCAAGCTCTGTGCTGAGCCGGGCGAGGCACCGCCCCAGCTCAGCCCGCTTTCTGGACGGTCCCTTCTGGATGTGGCTGCCAGGGAGGGGCGGCAGTGGGCGCCTGTGAGTTGCGCAGTGTCCATTTTCTTGGTCATGTGCGTTTTGTTTTGGTTTTTCTCTCATCCCAGTGTTAGCCCTTGGCATCCAACTGCACTTGCCCGATGGGCTGTGTCCTGACCGCTGTAGAACAGCATCATCGGTGGCTGCCTCCCGGTGCCCACCTGCCCCCTGCTGCCACTGTCACCTTCCCACACCGTCCTCTGTGACCTCTGGTCACCTTGAGCAATTCAAAACTCCCCAGTAAGATGCTCCATCTCTGTGGTCTCCTTTCCTTTGTTGCAACCTCTCCCCTCTGTCTGAGCTGCCACCCACTCCAGGAAGTCCCACTGACTGCCCAGGCTAGATGAGATCTCCACCCCAGGGTCCCACAGCCTTAAGTGTTCCCTCATGTCAAGACAGAGACCCACATCTCATTCCTCTCTGCTGCACCAGCCAAGGTGCCCAAGGCCAGGCGCAGAGCAGGTGCTTGGTGAGAGATGGCCAAGAGCAGCTGGCCTTGCCAAGGCTCCTGGGCCGGGCGGGGGAGGTGCAGCGGGCAGCATAGGCCTTGAAAGGGCCAGCAAGGTGGGAAGGGTCCTGGCTCTGTCCTGGTACCAGGCATCCCTTGGTCCGGGACCCTGGCCTGCGCCCTGGGCAGGCAAAGCTGATGTTCCTGGCAGCATGGGCTGGCTCTGGGTCTTGGAAGGGAGGGTATGTCTGCAGGCCTGCTGGCCTCGGCAGCTGCTGGGCTGGCCTCTTGCTCCTGGGGCTCCCCTCTGCTCCTGGGCCCACCTTTTTCTCCCTTCGCTTTCCACTCACACCCCCTACCCCCGTTTCCTTCTCGTTCTTGTGAGGCCTTGCCCACTGCCTGGGAGAGGCCTCTGCCGAGACGTCAGTGTTGGCCTTTCTGCTGCCATGACGGAGATGCCTCCTGGGCCGCGAACGGGTGTGTCCCGCCGCCATCCTGGTCTTCCTGTCTGCTCTCCTGCAAACACATCTGGCACTCCTCATCCCTTTTCTGTGCCTCAGCTCTTTGTCTTTTTCTTCTCCTGCACTTTCCTACCATGCCCCCCTCACCGCTCTTTGCCTCTGTATTTTGTCTCCCTGCTCCCACCTCTCTCTCCGTCATGTGGAGCTCTGGGGTTGGAGGAGCAGGGCCCACAGAGGGAAGTCTGGGAGAGCGTGGTGGTCAGCAGATGCTCTCAGGGTCCTGGGCCAGCGCCCTCCTTTCCTAGAGCTTTCCCCTCTCCTGGTGTGGTTCCCCTTCTCTGCCCTTGCCCACCCATCCTTCACCTCCTTCACCTCCCCCTTCCCCTCCCGACACAGCTGAAGGAGGAGGACGGCTGCCACTCATCATGGGGGGCTGTGGAAGGTCCACCTCTGAGACTCTTGGTTGGGAGCAGAGCTAGTGGCTGTGAGCTCATGTGTGTGCCCTTGTGTGTGGGGTGTGCAGAGCAGAGTGCCCGGGGCAGGTCACATCTAAAAACCCAGTCAGATTGGAAGCAGACTCTGCGTGGCCCCTGGCAGTTCCTGGCCACCCCTCGCTGCCCTCCTTGTTCCGGGACGGCTCCTGCCGGTTCAGGGCCTGCTCCGCTGTTGCCTGTGGCGTTCATGGGCCTTGGACCCAGGGAATAGAGTCATGCAGAGAAGTGAGGCAGCCCCTGCTTGGCCGCTCCCCTGCTTGGCTCGCTGTTCAGCTGCCAGGGTGGGGGCGGAGCATCCAGAGGTACAGTGTGAGATCAGCAAGGAGGGTGCCCGATCCTTCCTGCTGTCTTTGAAGCCTCCCTCCTCCTGGCTGTGGTCACTACGTCAAGCCTGTCCTGAGCTCCATTTTTGGCCTATTGTCGAGCCCTGGGTAGAGGGTGGGGAGGCCTGAAGACCTGGTGGACCCAGCCGTGCCCTGGGGAATTGCAGCCCTGGGTGGGGACCCTGGGCTGGGTAATGGTGGCTGGAGGCTTCCCAGACCCCGTCTGTGCTGTTGGTGACTGAGCACTCTTGGTTTGGCCACTCTCCTTTCCAAGGTAACACTCTCCCCTTCTCTCTTGGCTTCGGCAGGTTCTCCAGAAGCTAGGAAAGGCAGATGAGACCAAGGATGAGCAGTTTGAGCAGTGCGTCCAGAATTTCAACAAGCAGCTGGTGAGTGTGGGTGGCCCTTGGCCTTAGGGAGTTTGTGAAAATTCGGCTGCCAGGTGGAAAATGGCACAAGCTGAATTTGTGGAGTACGAGAGCTTGGAGGAGGATAATCAGTTGGGCTGACAAGATCATGTAAGACTTCCTGGAGGAGGCAGCCCTGGCAATGCATGCTGGGAAAGAAGAGGGTTGGGGTATGTATGCTTTAGGTCCTTGGTAGGAGGCATAGTAAGGGTAGTTGGGGGAGGGGGAGGGTGGGATAGGAGCAGGCAATAGATTGTGGTCAGACTCGGGGAAACTTTGCATGTCAGGGGCAAGTGGGAGCTGTAGAAGCTTCTTGCCAGGAGAATGGCATCTGCAGCAGTTAGCGTGGGGGCAGAGCTGGCTGGATTTGATTTGGGCATCTGCTGAGCATGGTGTGTGCCTGGCTCTGTGGCAGGCTCAAGGCTGGGCTGTTGGGAGGCGTCCACAGCCATCTCCAATTGGCCCGGGAGCATTCTGAGAGAGGGCTGAGAGCAGCTGGGAGGGCTGGGGAGCAGCTGGGAGGGCCTGGGAGCATTCTGGGAGAGGGCCAGGGAGCATTCTGGGAGAGGACTGAGAGCATTCTGGGAGATGGCCAGGGAGCATTCTGGGAGAGGACTGGGAGCATTCTGGGAGATGGCCGGGAGTAGCTGGGAGGGCTGGGAGCAGCCGGGAGAGGGCCAGAAGCAGCTGGGAGAGGGCTGGGAGCATTTGGGAGAGGGCTGGGGAGCAGCTGGGAGAGCTGGGAGCATTCTGGGACAGGACCGGGAGCAACTGGGAGTGCTGGGAGCATTCTGGGAGAGGGCGGGGGAGCAGCTGGGAGAGCCAGGAGCATTCTGGGAGACAGCTGGGGAGCATTCTGGGAGAGGACCAGGAGCAGCTGGGAGGGCTGGGAGCATTTTGGGAGAGGGCCGGGGAGCAGCTGGGAGGGCCAGGAGCATTCTGGGAGATGGCTGGGGAGCATTCTGGGAGAGGACCAGGAGCAGCTGGGAGGGCTGGGAGCATTCTGGGAGAGGGCTGGGAGCAGTGGGGAGAGGCCCCGGGGCCAACTTGGCGCTGGCTTGCCAGAGGGGCTCAGCCTGACAGGCTTCCCTGGACAGGAACTGGGGAGCCACCTTGGCTGCTTGTCCTTTAGGCCAGTTATGGGAGGAGTTTCAAGGCCCAGGTAGACCCTGTGGCAGGGATATCTACTGCCTCTGTGACCCTGGACAATTCCTTCCCAGGGCCCCTTGGGCCTCAGTTTCCTCACCTGCAAAATAGAGGCTTGAACAAGAAACATGGTCTTAGGTTCTGATTCCGTCTCTGGGAAGTCCCGTGGCATGTCCCTACTCAGCTGGCTTCATCGGGTTGTGGGTTGCTCTGAAGGCCCTTTAGGAGTTGCTGTGGCCGTGGGCCAGGAACTGCTGTGTTTGACAGACATCTTTGCAATCCTTGAAATGGGGGCTGATATTCTCCTCATTTTGCAGATGAGGCACTTGAGTTTCAGAGAGGTTACGCACAGCTTCCAAGGCTATGTAGTTGGTGTGTAGCTCTGCGGCCTTTGGCTCACTCTGGAGTTTCCTCTCTCGAGCTGATCCCTTGTCCTGAGGGCAGCTGGCTAGGCTGGGGAGACAGGTTAGGGGTGGAGTTGGTGGGGGCCCCTTAGAACAGGCTGAGCTGGCCGGGCACTGTGGCTCATGCCTGTAATCCCAGCATTTTGGGAGGCCGAGGCGGGCAGATCATGAGGTCAGGAGTTCGAGACCAGCCTGGCCAATATGGTGCCTCTACTAAAAATACAAAATTAGCCAGGCGTGGTGGCATGCGCCTGTAGTCCTAGCTACTCAGGAGGCTGGGGCAGAAGAATCTCTTGAGCCTGGGAGGCAGAGGTTGCAGTGGGCCGAAATCGTGCCACTGGACTCCAGCCTAGGCTACAGAGCGAGCCTCCGGTCTCAAAACAAACAAACAAACAAAAAACAGGCTGAGCTTTGACAGTGAGGGAAGCACAGTTGGGAGCTGAGGCTCTGTGTGGCCTGGCCCCAGGGCTGAAACCACAGTGTTGCTGTGTCCACTGTCCCTCAGAGTCACCCTCTCTGGGCCTCTGACTCTGGGCAAGCGGTCACTCACTGCTCCTTGGACAAAGGGGTTAGACAGAGAGGCCAGGGCTAAAGATAGCCAGTGCTTCAGGCTGCCAGGTGGCTGCCGGGCTGTGGGTGTGAAGCAGTCCTGAGATGGGCCTCTGTCTGCCCTCGGGCTCGGGTTTGGTGGGGCGACTGGCTTTTCAGGGGCCAGGGCTGGCAGTTGGGGTGGGGGTTTTAAGGTCGTGTTCAAGGCTGGGGCTAAGGCAGTCAGCCGGTTCTGGATTTGATTGGTGTGTGGGGATGGCAGGGTGTGGGGGTGGGGGTGGGGACCAGGCAGGAATGGGGTGAAGGTCACTGTTGTTGGGGGAGTGAGTTCAGGAGGCTGCAGTGGGCTTGGGGGCCCTGGGAAAGGAGAGAGAGAATGGGGCGTGGGAAGACTGGAGGCAGAGCTTTTTTTTGCCCCTTATTCTGTGAACCCCAAGCCTAGTGGGCCCAGCGCTAGGAGGGACAAAGATGGCAGGTGATTCAGTCTTTAAAGAAGCGAAACTCCCACCACTTCCTATGGCGGTGGGGGGCCCTAGGTGAGGGTGTAGGTCACCCTGCTGTCACCTGCTCTCACAAGGACCCAGGTGCACAGCCCCTCCTGGGCCCACCGGGCGCTGGTCACAGGAGCACCCCTGCCTTCTGCCGCTGCTCTGAGAGCCCATGGGGCCTGCTTTCCCCTCCCCCAGAGCACCGCACAGCCAGCACAGACCCTTCTGGAAGCCAGCCTGGGTCTCCAGGGCATCCCAGCTCTTCTTCCTAGGGGCCGTCTGTAGCTCTCCAGGCCGCAGGGCTGTCATTGCTGTTTGTCTGTCACTGAGGTGGGGCAAGTCTGATTCCTTCTTGTCCCCAGGGCCTCCCCAAGGTTTTGCTCAAAATGGGCATCCCTGGCTATTGCGTGAAGGTCATCCCCTGAATTGATGGCTGAGGGGTGAGAGTCAGAGCTGGAGCCAGAGGGGTCCATGTAGGAGGGCTGTCCCTGCCCTTAGACCCGCTGGGAACACGGGGACTTGGGTGCTCAGGCCACCCGTGGGGACTGATCTCCAGGGAGGCCCGGAGAGGGCTTGCGGATGCTGGCTGAGCCCAGCCGCACTGGAGCTGCTCCGGGCCCTTCCTGACTCCCCCAAGTCCTGTAGCTGGGACACAGGCCGAGGTGGGCAGTGGCTCCCAAATCTTATCTTCCCCTAGCTGGGCTCTGTGAACTCTGGGACCTCCAGAGAATTCTTTCTCAGATCCCTGTTTAGGGGCTGAGGGAGCCGGTTTGGAAGCAAACACCACTGCTCTGTACTGGCCTGGGCGCTGCTCTGCAGGGGGCAGCTGGCTGGGCCTCTGTCCGGGAAGGGCTGTGTCTACCCTGGGGACTGAGGAGGAGCTTAGGAAGCCAGCTGCAGTGGGCACAGGGAGGCAGCGCTCCAGCTGGCCCCTCGCACATCTGCGTGCCACGTGCCGGCGCACAGCCCAGCGTTGTTTGGGAAACACAAGGAGCCCTGGTACGGCCTGAAGGCCAAGGCGGGGGGAGCACAATGACCCACCCCATGGGGACTCCTGCTGCCGGGGGGTGGGTGAGGGGAGGCCTGAGAGGTGTGGCTGGGATGGTGGAGGCTTGGCAGGGAGAGAAGCTGGATCTGGAAGATTTGGTGACATCAGGGGACACAATAGCATCCCGTCATGAACACACTAATCCTCGTCTCAACCAACAAAGCCTTTAATTGTGAAGACTTAGGGTGGCTGTGTCAGGAGTGAGGTGGACCCTTCCTCATTCCTCGGCCCCGTAGGGTCTCCATCCGACCCCCGAATGGAATTCCAGGGAGGTCTCCGTGTCCGTGGAGTGCTCTTCTGTTTCTTCACTCCGTCTCACATCAGCGGGCCTTGAACTGGGATGTTCGTAAAGATGATGATTAGCCAGTGTTTTACACCCTACTCTACGGGGGATTAAAGGAATTGTAGAGATTTTTTTTTTTTCACATGTCCTCTCTTTAAATTATATACCCTATGTACTACTCTGAAGCTCTCCCTGTGGATGTCTCTACTGTCACACAGAAGCATTCATCATAGTAGGCAGATCTGCGGGTTCTCAGGGACGCATCACTACCCATTACCCACAAAACACGCTGCGGGCTGCGTGCCCAGGCTCGGAGGGTCTCGTGGGCTCTCCCAGTCTCTGTGTGACTGGGCCGGTCGCCGACCCTCTGTCTGCTTCTTTGCTGCCAGGTGAGGCAGTGGTGTTGAGAAGACCACCTGGAAGGTGCTGGTCCCCAAGGCACCAGGGCAGGAAGAGCGGCCCCAGCTAAGGACAGGGAAAGACCTGCAGTGGGGAGACAGAAGAGGGTTTGAGGGTGCTGGGGGGGAGCCTGTGGAGGTGGCCGGGTCCCTGCTGGCCTTCGCCTGGAGATTGACCTGAACGGATGGGGCCCACCTTCCGGCTCTTGCGCAAGCGTGCAGCTGGCCAGACTGGCGCTCTGCAGGCATGCTGGGTCTCCTGGGACCATGGCCAGCTGCCTCTCCTCCAGGGCAGGAGGTGTCCAGAACATGGGTGTCCCTGAGGCTTGGACTGGCAGCAGGCAGAGGAGGCCGGGGGGTACCCTTCCACTATGAAGGTCAGCCTCAGCCACTGTCGCTCTCCCAAGCCCCCTCTCTGCCTCGCGTTCCTGTCCTTAGCACGAAGCCCATCTCCTGAGGCCTTCCTTCAAGGTCCAGAGCCTGGCCTGTCTCACTGGATCTGAGGAGAGCCAGGCAGGGATCATTCACCTTCCATTGAAAGACGAGGAGAATGAGGTTCAGAGAGGCTCACTAGCTTACTTAGGGCTGCGTGGCTAGTACAGGACACAGCTGGGTCTGCATGGCCTCAAAGCCCATGTGCAGCCCACTCTTTGCACATGGCTTCTAGAAGCTTCCACAGCTCACTGAGCATGGTCTCAGACCTCAGGGCTGGCATCGCCTGTTGTTCACACCTCCTGGAACCTGGCGTTCTCCACTTAGCTTTCCTGGCTCTGGTGTTGATGTCCCAGAGGGACTTGAGGCCTGGCCCATGCTTCTACCCTCTCCGCTGGTCTTGCTGTCTCAGGAAGCCCCTGGAGGCTACTCTCCCAGCTCAGGGAGCTTCACCACCCAGCCCGCTGCCCCCTCAGCCTTTTCCCTCTACATCCTATGTCCCTGCTCTCAGCTGGGCCAGTGAGTCCTGGCCATGACCCCTGCATTCTGCCGCCCTGCTCTGATGCCATCTCTTCCTCAGGTCTTCTGTCCCTGCACAGGCTTGCACTGGGCCCTCTTGTCCTAGTATGAGGCAGTGGGAGCTCTCTGTCCTTGGGCACCACCTGAGCTTGTGCAGCAGGGGGCCTGGCGGTCACCACACCTGCCTTGTCCATACTCCTGTGCTCGTTGCTTACTTGTCTGCAGGTGTCTGAGGGCAGGTCTGTGAGTGCTGGTGCTGCTGCATACTGCTGCTGTGCTGTGTGTGTGTCATTCAGCCGTAACCCCAGCATGTCATCCCGGAGTGGGGGGTCTTTGTCTTCCTGCCTTCCTTCCCAGGCTGAGAATGGCATCTGGAAGAGGGCAGGTGCCCACAAACATGGGCAAGGGTACCTGTGGACACAGGGCTCCTGAGGCAGGAGTGGTGACCGTAGCTGCTGTCCTGTTGGGAGGTCAGCTGATCAGTGGCTGCTGTCAGGAGAGCAGCCTGGTTCATTCGTGTGAGGATGGTAGGAAGGAGAGGGGTCAGGGACTGGGTGTGCCTGACCTCAGCCTTGACCTTCTCTTTGCAGACTGAGGGCACCCGGCTGCAGAAGGATCTCCGGACCTACCTGGCCTCTGTCAAAGGTAGGAGGCAGGCAGGGCGCACCTGGCCCATGTACAGCTGGTGGGTACAGAGCTGGGGAGGGTGGGACAAGGGCTATCACTGAGAGGCCCACATACTTCCTTTCTGTCCCACAGCCATGCACGAGGCTTCCAAGAAGCTGAATGAGTGTCTGCAGGAGGTGTATGAGCCCGACTGGCCTGGTAGGGATGAGGCAAACAAGATCGCAGAGGTGAGCATAGGACAGGAGTCCCTGCCCGTCTCAGAGGGCCCTCTGGTCTCAGCTCCTGTCCCACTCTGCCGTGCCCTCTGGGACAAGCATCTCTGGTTCTCAGGCATTCGCGTGCTGTGTGCCCTGGGGCAAGCTGCCCTCCCTCTCCGAGGGCCTTTCTCCTGACTCGCCCTCACGCCAAGATGGGGCAGATGGTGGGTCGTGGTTGTCCTTATTTGTGTGTTATGGCTCACGACTCACAAGACCTCCCTGGCTGACCCCAGTCCTCAGTGTATCTGATCCTCACAGTCACCCCAATAGGGCAGGAACTTTTACCCCATCTTACAGATGGGGAAACGGAGGCTCTGAGAAGCCACCGAGCTGTGAAGAGATGGGGCTGGGGCTGGTCCCTGCGAGGAGAGCACTGGGGCGGGTGTGGCCCAGCACCCCTGGTGGCACTGTCGTGCTCTTGCCTGTCTCAGAACAACGACCTGCTGTGGATGGATTACCACCAGAAGCTGGTGGACCAGGCGCTGCTGACCATGGACACGTACCTGGGCCAGTTCCCTGACATCAAGGTGAGAGGCCCACTTGCTGGGACCTTCCTGTCCCTTTGGGTCTCAGGGCTATGGGAGGAAGCCTCATGGCACGTGTGTGTGTGTATGTGTGTGTGTGTGTGTGTGTGTTGCTGTGGAGTGGCTGGCTCTATGATTGTGGAAGGTGTAGAAGGGTGAGTAGGGCCTAGGCGTGTGTGTGCCTGCAGGTCTCCTGTGTTTATACCATGTGTGCTTGGAAGGGTATGTGTGCATGTCACCTGTTGTCTGGGTCTACATGTGTGGGTGTGTTTGTGTGGTTGTGTGCATTCACAAAGCCTGCTGTCTCTGCTGGGCCTGGGTGAGTGCTAGGAGCTGGCAGTGTCTCTGGTCTCCACCGAGGTGAGTGGTCCCCGGTGATGTGCACATGGAAGCGTGGGTTGACCACTGGGTTGGACGAGATCCCCTTGGTGGGCAGGATGGGGGTGTCATGCTCATGCTGGCCTCAGGGGCCCCCGGTGCAGATGCCTCAAGCTCCCCGAGTCTGATTGTTGGTGGCTCTGGAGATGAGAAGCTACGGACCAGGCCAAGGAAAAGACTTGGCTGACACGTCACCAGCTGGTGGACACAGACACGTGGGCTCATGGGCAAGGAACTGGTTTCACGCAGCGGGACTGGGCTGCCGGGAGGGGGCGAGCTCTGTCACCAGGAGCGTTCCAGCAACAAGGGCTCGAGGGTTCCTGTGGAGCTGGGGTCTCCTGCCCGCCCTGCGGGTCCATCCAGAGTCCACTAGACCTGAAGCCTCAGCAGGGGTGCCAGGCCCCGCTCAGCACCCTCCTCTGTCTGCCCTAGTCACGCATCGCCAAACGGGGGCGCAAGCTGGTGGACTACGACAGTGCCCGGCACCACTACGAGTCCCTTCAAACTGCCAAAAAGAAGGATGAAGCCAAAATTGCCAAGGTAAGGGCTGGAGGCCGGTCGGGGCCGCGTCTGCAGGAGGCTGAGAGAGGGTGGGTGTCTAGGACCCCAAGGGTGGAGCCTTCCTCCTGCCTGGCCCCAGGTGGCTGAGCTGGGGGTGGGGACGCTGCTGGGCCCAGGCCGGTGAGTGAGAGGCCCCTGTGGGTGCCTGGGTGAGGTCCACTGTAGGCCCATTCCTGCCCCCACCCCTGTGCCACCCCGGCCCCTCAGCCCTGATCCAGGCCACCAGCCAGCCTGAGAATGGGCCTCTTGGGTTTCCCTGGAACGGCGCCGCCCTGCCTGGCGAGCCGGGTGGAATTCGTCACACGATCCCAGGCGACCTGTCCCTGGCTGGAGCGAGCCAGTAGATGCAGAACTGGCCCCACTCATCCTGTGATGCGGGGCTGGGGCGGCCCCCTCCTCCGGGCAGGGCCTTGCTTGCTGGCCCCCTGTGCTGCTAACCACAAGCACCTTTTGCCTCTGCAGTTGGAGTTCACCCCCTCTCCTTGCCCCCTCGGGCTCCCCCTAATTCTGTCGGCCTCAAGGGCCCACATCTGCTTGGGGTGGCCCCCGCGTGTGGGGCGTGTGGACGTGCATTTAATCTGTGTGTCTCTGTTTCTCTCTCCCTACCTCCCTGGTCTCTCCACCTTCCTTTGCCTTGACCTCCCCACCCCAGCCTGTCTCGCTGCTTGAGAAAGCCGCCCCCCAGTGGTGCCAAGGCAAACTGCAGGCTCATCTCGTAGCTCAAACTAACCTGCTCCGAAATCAGGTGACACTGGCTTCTAACCTTGCACGTGCTGGCGCCTTCCGGTCTGTCGTCCTGTCCTCTTGCCCTGCGGCGGAATGCAGGGCTGGTGTCTGAGCCCGGCCAGGGCAGAGTTTTTCAAAGGCCTTGCCTGGGAGAGCTCCTGCTTCAGAGGAGACCTGAAGTCAAATGTAGGGGTCAAAGGAACTGGCTGAGGGGCTCTGGGTGACCTGGGTGGGGGCATAGGTGTGCCCACTCCGTGTCTGCGTCTGTGGTCGTTCCTGGAGACTCCTCTGAAATCCTAGTGGTCCAGGAATGCCTTTGAGCCATTGGTCCTCTGTGAGGGCTCTTTTGGGGAGGGAGGCGACATCTTCAGGCCCCTGTACTGCCATACCTGTCCTTCAAGCCTCGTGACAAGTCCGAGATCATCTTGAATTTACTGAGCAGACAAAGCTGCCCAGAGAGGCACATCACAGCTTCCTCCCGGGGCCCCAGAGCCAACGGTTAGGGGCAGGGTTGGGCCTCTCCTGACTGAAGCCCCTGCATCCTTTTCCTGGGACTTGCGGTCCCCGTGGTGACTCTGGAGGAGTTACTGGGAGGACCCTCCAGTCTGGCTGGGATGCTGAGACCTGGAGGGGAAGCATGGGTCCTCGGCCTTTGGGGATTCATGGAGGGCAAGTGACCAGCACCCCAGTGTTCCTGGGGGACTTCCTGGAGGAGGCTCTTTTTACAAAACTCCTGGGCCATCTCACCATCCTGGCCATAGAGCTATGGTCTTCTCAGCCCCTTGTCCTCCGAATGGGTCACAGTGTGGCCAGGGACCTCTGGATGCAGTGCCCTATGAGAGGTGGGTTTCACTGGAGAGGTGGTTTTCTCTCCAGTGAAACTGAGGCACATTTCGGGTCAGCGTAGTCACAGCCTGGATGCGGCCCTCACACTTCTTCACATTCCCGAGGGGCCAGCGACAGGGGCCCGGCCCAGGAGGTTGGGTTTCTCTCTGGGCAGCTGCCCCATTTTTTCCGAGCTGCCTGTTGATTTCATCATTTTCCTGGAGTGCCTGCGACATGGAGCGCTCTGGGTGGGCTTGGCATGGCTTGCTGTCCAATTTCTTTTTCTTTTTTTGAACGGGTCTCACTCTGTTCCCCTGGCTGGAATGCAGTGGTGCAACTTACTACAGCCTTGATTTCCCCAACTCAAGCAATCCTCCTGCCTTAGTCTCCCAAGTAGCTGGGACCACAGGCACACATCACCGTGCCTGGCTAATCTTTATATTTTTTGTAGAGACTGTGCTGCATTATGTTGCCCAGGCTGGTCTTGAACTCCTGGGGCTGAGCGATCCACCTGCCTCGGCCTCCCAAAGTGCTGGGATTACAGACATGAGCCGCTGCTCCTGGCCTGGCTGTCCAATTTCTCACCTGATCTGCTGCCTGATTTCTTTTAGGCCAGCGCTGACTTTGGAGGCACTGAGTGCTGACAGCCTCATCCTGAGATCAGGGTGCCCATGGAGAGCCAGGGGCTGGGGGTGATGCCTAGGGGCCTTCAATAGTCCTGAGACTTCATCTGCCTCTGGAGGTGGAGGAGGAACCAGGGGCTGGAGTGGGTGTGCCCTGCCAGTCAGTTTAGCACTTGGGCTAGAAGGGAAATGGGACTACTGACTGAGGGCTGGGGTTTCTGAATAATTTTCCCTGAAACAGGTGAAACATATTTTTGTGGATGGGAGAACTCCTTAGGAGGCTATGGGGCCTGCCCAGCGCTTTTGGGCTCCTGGGACAGGTGTGGATGGGACTCTGGAGGGAGGGCCTGCCCCCACGCCCACCCTGGGGGAGCAGCGAGAGGGTGAGGCAGGCGATCACATCTTTGGGTGCTGGGCTGTGAATGTTTCACAGTTTGGCCAAACTGGCTGTCTCAATTGGGTCCCATCTTTATTTGAGCACATCCTCCTTGTCCCCACCTCACTCATACCTGGCTGGAGGCTGGAGAGCTTTTGGAGTGACCTGTGGGCAGCTGGCTGGCTGTGAGATGGGACAGCTGGGACTCCGGGGCTGCCCTGCTGGGGGACTTGACTTTGGGGAGACAGTGCATCCTCTCTAGGCTGTACCAGGGGAGCTGGCCGGCTCCATGAGGACCCGGGACCAGTTCTGAGTTGCTCTCCACACCTGCCCTAGCGTCCTGAATGCTGTCCTCGGGACCCCGGGCCCACGTGACTCTTCTCCTCCGCTGTTAGCTTCAGTGGAGCTGGGGTGGGGGCACTCTCTCCTCACGGCAGACATGGCAGACAGCCCTCACCTTACTCCCTGCCCCTTCCACATGCTTCCGAAAGAGCCAGAATATGAGGAATGCCAACCAGAGGGAATACAAGACACAGGTCCTGACTTCAGGAACTCAAGCGGCACTGTCCGGGCTCTGGCTTTCTGTAGCGTTGCTGCGCTGTGAGGGCATGGCTGGGGGCAGATGTGCCCCCTAGACAAGCTGCAGTGCTGTCTTCACTGCTGTTCCCACCGTTGCCATCTGGGCAGTTGTGGGGGTGGTGGCTGCATCCTCATGGAGAGGGGGTCCTAGTGGGTAGAGAAGCCGGGCGGTTCAGGCAGGTTCATGTGGAATGTGGGACTTTAGACCCACTCTTGGCCGTTGAGGGCAGGGAGTATGTGTGATGGTGCTCGGCTCACAACAGTACCCCTAGGAGTCACTTATTTTATGAGTTCCATAGAACCGTGGTTGGCAGCCCCCCTTCCAGGTCCTGGGATGCCCAGAGGAGTAGGGCAGAGATGGCCCAGCCACAGCCTGGAGAGGCAGGAGGGACAGTATTCCTCACCCCGGCCTGGTGTGGGTTGCCCTGGGCCCCTGGATCTAAGAGAGGCATGCATGTTTGAATAGACATTCTCCCCGCCCCCCAAATCTGCCTTTACATTTTTATTAGATTCTAAAAAGTCAGGCAAGGAGCCCACACCCACTCTAGCGAGTAGCCGGAGGTCACTTGTCAGAAGCCGTGGTGGCCCCTCCTCCAGTCCCAACCCAAGTCCCTGGGGCTAGGGGCTGACCTGGGCTAGTCCTGCTGCCTGAGACTGGATGGGGCCCAGGTTGGCTGGGCTTGGGGCAATCGTGTGCTTTGTGATTAAGTGGCCTTCCGGCCATCTGGCTGCCGTTGCCAGAAGGCAGCCCAGCCCGGGCCCCAGCCGGGGCCTGAGAACGTGAGGCTGCTGGCGGGGAGTTTCCCTAGGCGGGGCCTAACACGTTCCTGGGCTGTGACTCACACCCTGAATCTCTGAGTCACTCTCCCCGGCAGTGTCCTAATGCAGTGAGCCAGCAGAGCCCCTTCCCCAGGCGGGCGGGTGGGCTGGGCACCAGGTGGGGTCTGTGACTCACCTGCTGCCTGCAGTCCCTTCCCCAGCACTCTGTGGCCGTGCGATGGGGCCTGAGCGCCACCGCCTGGTGGGTGTGAGCGGCCTGGAGGGCGCAGGGCCTGCCCTGGGGAAGGAGTGGGACCAGGCACTGCCCAGCTGCCTGGCCGCCTCCTCCCTGGCCCTGCACCCTCCTCTAGGGTCCCCCTGACGTTCCTAGAGGTGCCTGAGTGGCTGCCTCTGGTCTCCCTCTGGTGGAGACAGGTCCCAGGAGACAGAGGGCTTTGTGGGAAGGACTGTCCCCAGGAGGTGAAGTGAAGGATGGTGGCTGAGGCTGCCAGGAGCTGGCCCTCAGAAACGGGGAGGGAGCACTCAGGGGCAGGGGCGGTGGGGCACAGCGACAGATGCTGCCTTGAGAGCCAGAAGGCAGCGGCAGGGCTGGCGCCCAGCCTGAGGGGGTTCATGTGGAAGTGGGCGGGGTCCCCACTTGGCTGGGTCTGGGGTCTGCCTCTGTGCATGTCCTGTGTCCAGCTCACCAAGCCCCGGACTGGCCCCTCTTGTGCCCTCCTTGCCGCTCACTGCCCTCCCGGCCACCTGGGCCTCTCTTTGGCATTGGCTGCTCAGCCCTCCCTTTCTCAGACGGCCTCAGGGTCCCGGAGGGCTGCAGGGGGAGGTCGCCAGCGTGAGTGTCCGCATCCAGTCCAGCCTCTGTCTTGCCCAGAGCCCTGGTTCTGGCGCACTGGCCAGGAGGCGTGGGCAGGAGGTGGGTGGATTGGCCACAGGGCTGGGCTGGCTGGGACAGACACCCAGCAAAGGGGAATGACCCGTACTGCTCTCCAGGCCGAGGAGGAGCTCATCAAAGCCCAGAAGGTGTTTGAGGAGATGAATGTGGATCTGCAGGAGGAGCTGCCCTCCCTGTGGAACAGGTGAGGCCCGGCGCGGTGCCCAGCCTGTGTGCTGCGGTGCCTGGGCGCTCTCGAGTTTCTGTCTCTGATGTTCATGTGTGGTTGCTCGTGGGTGAGTGTGTTTCTGAGTTGCTGTCTTGACCCGCCTGTTCACCTGGCCCCCATCCTTCTGCCCTTCTGTAGCCGCGTAGGTTTCTACGTCAACACGTTCCAGAGCATCGCGGGCCTAGAGGAAAACTTCCACAAGGAGATGAGCAAGGTAGGCCCTGGGGACTCCTCTGAGGGGCCACGCTCCACCCTGGCCAAGGGTCAGAGTCAGAGTTGTGGGAGGGGCGGCCTGAGCTCCTCCTTCCCTGCCAGGTTCAGCACACACTGGTGACCACAGCGCTCCCTCCATGCCCCGTGGAACAGCCCCCTTCAGGAGTGCCTGGGCCCAGGGAGCACAGCAGGGCATGGTGGGAGGCTGTGAGCATTTTCTGGGTCCTGGCCTGGGCAGACCACCCGAGAATGTAGACCAGGCCCGGGCAGACCACCCGAGAATGTAGACCAGGCCCTCTCAAACTGTGAATGTATTCTCTAGCAACCTTGGCCCAGGGAGTGCAGTGTTAGACAATGGTGGCAGTTTCTCAATTTGTAGGAAAAAAAATTACCAGCATTTTCTCCATTTTAATTTTATTCCCATGTTTTTGAGACATTTAAATAGGCCTGTTTCGTCTGCATGAATCCACTGTGCGACAGGGTCTGGACTGATTAGCCTACCTTTCTCTGTTGTGTTATTTTCATTTTAACCTATCTGGCAACTAAAACGCAAAGGTGTTGAACTTTGCAGTTGGAGAGACCCAGGGCTGGCACCTCCGCCCCCAGTGGTGGGTCTGACTTTGTGTCTCGGGCCCAGAGGGATGAAGTGATGATGGTGGATTCCAGGCCCAGGGTCGGAGGAGGAAAAGCAGCTTGGGGCCTCTCCTGACTCACACCCCTGAGTATGGTTTCTTGCCTTTTAGACTTTCTCTTTCCTTCTTACCTTTTCCCCTTTCCCTTCGAAGATTTGAGACAATTTATGAAAAGTTTAAAAAAACAGAGAGAGGTGTTTTAGAGAAGAAACATTTATATAAAATTAGTCTGTAAAAATATATGCCACAGGGCGTAGTTGTTTATAAATAGGATGAAAATTCGGCTCTGAGCTCCCTAGTGGCCAAATCAAAGAGAGGAATATTCTCAGTAACGAGAATCACCACGTGTGAGGAATAAACCTTCTCTCGTGCCTGTGCTTTCAGTGAAATATCCAGCAGTTGCAGTGTGGTCTGAAAGCATCTTGGCAAAATGACCTTAACAATTAAGATCAACAGTCCGCCAAAACAATTTTTAAGAGAAAAGTGTAAAAATAGTTGATGCTCTGTGTGGCATTTTAGGATATCCCTATAAGTAGGAGGGGAAAAGATAGCTTCCAGAGACAACAGGCATTAGTGATGTAGCCCACTGGCCCCGTTTTGTTGCCCCTTGGTTTTTCTAGGTTTGGTGTGCTGGTTCCTTGCTCTCACAGATGGGGAAAGAGGAGCTTGTTCCTGGCCAGGGGCCGGGGGTGGTGGACAGAAGCAGAGGTGTTTGGGGAAGGTGGGGCTGTTCGGTGGCCCTGGAAGCCCCCCACCTCCTCACTGTCTCTCCCACAGCTCAACCAGAACCTCAACGACGTGCTGGTCAGCCTGGAGAAGCAGCACGGGAGCAACACCTTCACGGTCAAGGCCCAGCCCAGGTGCGTGCGGGGAAAGCCCTGGCACATGTGACTGTGTGCACGGCAGGGGCAGGGCTCCTTCCTGTGACCCTGTTGGTGCCCTCCCTGGCCCCCTGTGAGTTTGGCCTTGAAGGTCTAGGGACCTTCCTGTCTCGGCCTCTCTGTGCTCAGGGAAGCAGGTGAGGGCAGGTCTCTGTCTCGAATGTCCCTGTCCCTCTGGCTGTGTTCGTTGAGGAAGGAGCACTCTGGGGAGTCCACAGGTCCCTGAGCCAGCGGACCCCGTCATTGTGGAGCAAGAGCATCCGGGGTTGGGGTGGGCAGCCTGCTCAGCTTTGGGGACTGGGGGTTGTGAACAGGACTGAATGACTCTGGGGTGTGCGGTCCTCTCGGAGGAGGGAGGTAGCACCGCCCTTCTCTCTCCTGCTCCTGGAAAAGCTCATGTCCCTGGAAGGCAGCATTCTGCTCACCCGCACTGGCGTCCTCTTCCTGTCCTCAGCCTGGGAAGCCCAGCTGCAAGGAGATCTCTGTTTCCTGAGGGGGACCCATGGGGGAGGAGGGAAACGCCTTGCTCTCCTGGCTTGGATCAGAGGAAGCAGCGAGCCCGGGACTTCCCCTCCCTTCTGGCCGTGTCTGCGTGTGTGTGTGTGAGGGGGACTGTGTGCGACAGGTGTGAGTGTGTGCATACACACACGCACATCACAGCAGGGTGCAGAGAGCACCGGGGAACTCTGTAAAACGGGGCGTCTGTCTGCTTCCTGGGGTATTGCCCGGGATGATGAGGGTATTGGGTGGTGGTGATTGCCCCCTCCTTCCCTGAACAGAAGATAGTTGTGGCTGAGAGAGGGGCCGTGGTGACCTGAGGCTGGGAGTGGGGAGGTGAGGAGGGAGACGTTGTGGCGGTGAGGGGGTGTGGGGGGGGCGGTTGTGGAATAAAGGCCAAAATATGAATCCAAGGTTGGGCAGGGAGGGGCAGCTGCCTGGCCTGTAGGCACAGGTGGGAACACTGGGATGGGTCAGCACGGGGTAAGCGTGGCCGTCCTGGCCAGAACCATGGCTCCCCTCAGGAAGGAGGTGGAGGGAAGAGAGAGGGACAGTGGAGGCCCAGGAGCCTCCCTTCCAGCCGAGTGGCCTCTTGTGCACTCTGTGCTGGCCTGGGGGCCTTTTCTGGCACTCTGGGCACACCTGGAGCTCCTGGGGACTGGGACCACAGGCAGGGTGACTCTCCCCTGCCCCGAGCCTCCTGCCCCTCACCAGGCCCTGTTAGCATCACCCCAGGCACCTGGCCACAGCAGGGGCCTGCCCGGGTACCCTGGGATAGCAGGCCCAGGCCCTCTGCAAGGCCTCTGGCACTTAGGAGAGGCTTTTGCCCCTTTGTCCTCTGAGCAGAGGGGTTGGCAAAGAGGGAAGGGGACGGGCCAGTTCTGTCCCTGGCCTTTCTCCAGAATGAAGGCCTCCACCTCCCGTCCGTCCCCACAGAAAGAAAAGTAAACTGTTTTCGCGGCTGCGCAGAAAGAAGAACAGGTACCGGCAGTGAGTGCTGCGGAGGGGCGCAGAGGTCCGCGCCCTGGCCGGCCCTGTGCATGCGCCTTGCGGCTCGCTCCCAGACGCCACTAACCCGTAACCTGGCTCTGTGTGCAGTGCTGCCCGGCAGGGCTGGCGTGTGTGTGTGTGTTGGGTGGGAAGGCGGAGGCGGTGCGGGGCGGGCAGGCCTCTGAGCAGCTGGCTGGATTTAGCACGTTCCTCTGGGCGCCCCTCACTTGTCTAGCCCCGGGTGGTGCCCGGGCCACCAGCGCACTTACCAATGGCGGACGCGGCTGGGAAGGAGACCTGGGGAGGGTCAGGGAGGTGACACTGCGGCACGGTGGGGTTGTTTTTCAAAAAATTCTGTGTGTATACTATATACTTTTATATATATACACACACACACACTTATATATACTATGTACTTATATATATTCTTTAAGGAGAATACATTCCCATAAAACACAGATTCCAAAAGGAAAGATGGTGTCAGCGACATCTCTTAGGCTGTTCCACGCTTTGCCCTCAGGTGACTCGGTCACTGGTTCCTGCTGGATGCTTCTAGATCTGCACTGTCCGGCACAGATGCCAGTCACCCCATGGGGCTATCGAGCCCTTGAAACTGGCCAGTGTGACTGGGCAGCGGAACTTTTCGTTTAAATTACACGTAAATTTCACTGATTTGAGTTTGCATTGCCAAACTCAGGTTTGGTGGCTAGTGGCAATCATATTGGGCAGCGCCTTTCTAGGCCTCTCTATGCAGGTTCTGGTAGAGAATATTCTCCCTGCACCCTCGTCCCTTTGCAGGGTGCACAGCATCATACCACCTCCCCCTCGCATTCTGGCACTGAATGCCATGGCTCAGGACCTGTCCCCTTCATCGCCAGCTGCCCACTCCTCTGTGATGAGGACGCCTCTCTTAGTTTGTCCAGGCCCTGCTTTTGGCCTCCAATGGCCTAGAGGACAGGAGAGCCAAGGTCTGGAGACATGTACCAGGGTTCTGTGATGGACAGGCAGGGAGGGCAGCGAGGAGGCCTGGGGGCAGCAGGCTGGGGAGCGGCCCCCAGAACAGAGGGGCTGCTGCCTGTGGTGTGGGAGACTCACTGTGCCTCTGGGATGTCTGGCTTCCTCCTGCTGTGGATCTTGGGCTGTCAGCATGGGCCCTGGTGGACCCCATGGAGCCTGTGGTGGTGTTGGTCTGGCCTCTGCGACAGATGGTTCCAAGGTGCCTGCCTGCATTCCTGGGGACCGTAGACCTCCAGCCTGGAGTCCCTCCTTGGGCTGCTCCTGTCTCTGAGGCAGGCTCCCCACTTCCAGCCCCCCAAGCCCAGGTCCTTTGGCTCCCCCCACCCTCCCGCTCTCTCTCTCTCTCTGTCTCTCACACACACACACACACACACACACACGGCTTCACACCTCCATATGCACACACCTCTTCACACAGATGTCAATACATTTGCCCCTCTGTCTCCTGTGCCTCAGTCCCCCAACACTGGGCTCCCTTTCTTGTCCTGCCCCCACAGTGACAACGCGCCTGCAAAAGGGAACAAGAGCCCTTCACCTCCAGATGGCTCCCCTGCCGCCACCCCCGAGATCAGAGTCAACCACGAGCCAGAGCCAGCCGGCGGGGCCACGCCCGGAGCCACCCTCCCCAAGTCCCCATCTCAGGTAGGAGTGATGTCTCGGTGGCAGGTCCGCTGCCCTCCCTCCTTCTCCTCTGGCTTTGCTGTTGTCCCCCATCCTCCCACTCCTCTGTCCCCTTTCTGGCCTGGGCAGCTATGGACCCGATGCTTTGCCCAGTGGGCGTTGGGCCTGGACCTGGGTCTCCTTCCCCTCATCCAGCCTGGCGTGCTTCCGGGAGGCATCTGTGACTGCTCGCCCCTCCCCAGGGCCCACCCCTACTGCAGCGCCCTCCCCTTCCCTCTCCCTGGTCTTTTGGCTGCTTGACTCTTTCTCCATCTTCTTTTCCTCCCTAGCAGAGGCTCTGGGCGCTCAGCCCACAGAGCATCCAGATCTCCGGAGTGGGCTGCTTGTCCCTCTTCCTGGCCTCTCTGTCTTAAAGGGGCCTGAGGGAGGAGCCCAGCCAGGTGGCCACACAGGGCCTTTAAAGGGACAGAGAGAGGAAGGGCTCAGTGGAGAGTGTGGGGTGGCTAAGGGGGCAGGTCCTGGGCTTCTGGACTCTCCCCGTCTCCACCCCACCTGCCCCCAGCGGGCTCTCCAGGTGTCTGCAGGGCCCTAGGCGCTGGCCGACCAGGTGGCGGTGTTCTCATAGCTGGGCCTCCTGCAGCTCCCAGTTTTCCGCCGCCACCCTGCCCTGCTGCTGACTAGGATAGCAGGGCTAAGGACGTGGTGGGAGCCTGCACCGAACAGCACTTCCCCTGACCTGGACATGGTGCCAGTGCCTTCTGTGTTTTCATTCACTGAGTCCCCACAAACCCCCTGTGAAGCAGACGCCGTCATCACCCGACACATGAGGAAGCCCAGCCTCGTGGGTGCGTGACCTGCCCAAGGTCCCCCACCTGGTGGGCAGGGGTGTGGCCTCTGCCCCATCCTGGTGCCACGCTGGCTTCCTCTGGGACACACTCGTCTGAGCTGGGCTCCCTGTGGGCAGCCCTATGCTCTGGGAGGTAGAGGGAGGTGCCTGCGGGAAGGGCAAGGTGGGCAGAGCGAGCCTGGGGCCCGGCTGTCTCTCAGCGATTGTTTCCTTCCCCAGTCTTCTCGCCAGGCGGGTGGAAGCCAGACCCTCCCACAGTTGGCCAGCGGGCAGCCCGGGGCCTCTCTCCCTCTTCTTTGCTCTCCCTCTCTCCTCTCCCCTCACCTGTCTCTTATCTCTCCACACAGCGTTTCTGGACCTCCTGCCTCAGTGTCCCTCTCGGGGGTGGCCTGCGGTCTTGGTGTCTGTGTTGGGGGGCTGGGAGGGCAGTGAATCTTCGTTTGCTGCGCCCTGCTCAGTGGCCTGGGTGGGGCTGTGGCCTGGGGTGTGACTAACCGTGTCTTTGTCTCTGTCTCCCCCAAACCCCGTGCTCTGCTGTGCCTTCCCGCGCGGCCCCTCACCCGCCGCCGACCCACAGCTCCGGAAAGGCCCACCAGTCCCTCCGCCTCCCAAACACACCCCGTCCAAGGAGGTCAAGCAGGAGCAGATCCTCAGCCTGTTTGAGGACACGTTTGTCCCTGAGATCAGCGTGACCACCCCCTCCCAGGTCAGCCGCGGCCGCCGCGGCCCAGCTCTCCTCTCTTCCTGCCCTCTCAGGGCGTGCATGGCCTTCATCCGCTATGCTTCTGTCTCAAGAGCCAAGAATCTGGCCAGAGAGACTGTCAGTTTCCCTCTCTCACCCTCCCTTCCCTCTGTCCATCATCCTCCATCATCATCACCCATCTCTGAGCATGTACTAAGGCTGGATGCAGGGCCACAGCGGGGAAAGGTGCCCACCCCTCCCGGCACAGCAGTCACGTCAGCAGTGCCCTTGCGGTGCAGTGGGTACTTGGCAGAGGGGATCGGGGAGTGTGGAGGACCTGTGGTGTCGGGGAAGGCTTCCAGGTGCAGGGAGAGTTGGAAGGCCCTGGAATGGCTGAAGCACCTGGACTTCAGCTCCCACAGCTGCTGTCAGTCACTTGAGGGCGGGGGCAGCGGCCAGGCTTCAGAGCACAGCTGCTGCCTGCATACTCCCTGAGAGGTGTGGAATGCCCAGATGCAGCAGGGAGCCACCCAGGGTGGCTTGGGTCTCTCCCGACGGGTCCTTGGCTCAGCAAGGAGCCACCCAGAGGGTCCTGGGTCTCTCCCAATGGACCCTCAGCTCAGCTGTGGAGGTGCCTCTGGGGAGCCCGGCCCACTGCCCCAGGTCTCACGTCCTTCCTGGTGGGGGCCTGGCGGGAGTGTCTTGCTGGAAGCGCCACTCGCCAGTGCTGGAGTGGGCCGATGTGTTGTCAGATTTGCCCAGGGGTGGCCGGCCTTCCCTGCACTCCCCCAGAGCTGACTGCCTCCTCAAGGCCAGCCATCCAGGCCTTGGCCTCCCTCCTGTAGGTGAGCCAGGGCCCTTCCCACATGGGGAGCCTCGCCTGTAGGGGAGGCTGTCCAGTCCAGGCTGTGGTGGCCTCCAGCAAACCCCTTCACACAGCTCAGACGCCTAGTGGGGATAGGTTGGAGGGTGTGAGTGTGGGGAGTGGCTGCTGGGAACTGCGAACAGTGGTCGCTGCTAGGAAGGGTTGGGATGGTGGGCCTCAAGCCCCTATGCAAAGACTAGGGCTAGAACTAAGGAGCTTTAGATCCAAGGCTGCAGGTGTCTGGGTGAGTGACGCAGGTGTCAGGGACCTGGCAGGCTTGGGAGCCCCTCTCTGTGGGATGGTGGCAGAGGGCGATGTAGGAAGAGCAGTGTGGGATCAGGGCTGAGGACCTCCCTGGCTCGAGCGTGCCTCCACCCTGGGGATGCCCAGTGTGTGTACAGGTGAGGGAGATGGGATGGCATGGACACTGGCAAATACTGAGCGAGGAATGGTGCCAGCCACTTCCTATACCCCATTATGCCCCCATTATGCATCATGCCCCCATTTAACAGGCGAGGAAAGGAACCTAGGGCCTGTGCCGTGGGCCCACGCCAGAACAAGGTGTGCCAGGCCAGGAGGTGGCCTAGAGACCACCTGCACCCAGGTTCTGAGTGCGCCTGTCCCTCTATACCATACCTGCCTCCCTGACCACTGCGTGTGCCATCTCCAGGCAACTGGTTTTCCTGGTCTGGGGTGGGGGAGCCATGACCTTTGGGTGGGGCATGGGGCAGGGGTGGGCGTGCCCTTGTCCATGACACTGGTGCCCACGGGCTTCCTGGCTGTGGGGTGGTGAATAGCCTGTGTCCCTGCATGGAGGGACAGTCCCGGGCCTGCATGGCGAGGTGCCACCTGCCAGGGCAGGACAGCGAAGGGATGGTCAGCTCTCTGGCGGGTGACCCTCCCTTCGGCACACGACGGGTATGGCTGCCTGGGTTGGCTGACTTCTCTGAGATAGGAGGGAAGGGTGTCGCTGGGGCAGGGTGGGGGCCACTGGGGAGAGACGCTGGCCGCCCACTGGTTGGAGGCACCTAGGAGCTGTGCACAGGCATCCTCACCGCTCTTTCTTCAGAGACGGCCGCTTATGGGGCAGAGCAGTGACCTCCCCACCCTGGCTTCCCCAGACAGGGCTGGACCTAAAGGGAAGTCAGCTGATGGGATGGGCCCAGGGCAGGGCCTGGGGCCCCTGGTTCCAGGAAGTGAGTCCATTTGGCCTGGGCTGTCTGACACCTCGGCTTGGCCATGTGGACTGCTCCACGCCTTGTCCCCTGAGCTGCGGGACAGCTGGGTGTTCTTAGGACTGAGGGCCTTGGGTCTCTCCCAACGGGCCCTCAGCTCAGCTGTGGAGGTGCCTCTGCGGAGCCCGACCCACAGCCCCAGGTCTCACGTCCTTCATGGTGGAGGCTGCGTGGAAGGGCGCCCCGTCCGTGCCCAGTGCCTGTGAAGAGTGTGTGGAGCCGGGAAGCCGCTGGCCTGGGCTGCGGGGCTGGGGCTTTTCCAGCACTGCCTGAGGGCCCTGGAGGGGAGCACCCGGCCACATCCCTCTCCTTTTAGACCTGGGCAAAGTTATCCCTGGCCCCCAAAGGGAAGCCCCAGGTACAAGATGGAGGCCGGAGCCGAGCCACTCCCCGCTCCTCAGAAGGCAGCTTGTGCCCTGGGCATGGCCATGGGCATGGGCGTGGGCTTGGGCGCTGCCCAGGGCACACTGGAGTCATTGTTCCCGCCTGTGCCGGGGGCTCTAAGGAAGCCCCTTCCTCCCATGCTAGTCTGGCCCAGCTTATGGGGAGGCTTGTCACAGTGTGGCCAGGGCCACCGTGTCCCATCCCTGGGGCCATGCCTGTCACATGCCTATTCCTGGGCTCACTGGAAGGGGATCTTGGGGGGTGGCTGCTGGGGAGGGGTCAAGGGCCTGCAGTTTTAACCCAGGTGCCCCAGGTGGTTGTGAAGCCCCTGCATGTTGAAGACCCCCACTTTGAAGCTTGGCCTCTTGGGCTTTGTGGGCTGGGTCCACCCTTTCCTCCGTCCCTGGAGCTGGCCGGTGGTGGTGTTGCCAGAGAGGGACTGGCCTGTCTGGGGTTGAGGAAAAGCCAGCGGGAAGTCTCTGCCTTTGGAACTTTCCCTGTCGGTAGCACTGAGGGTGGCTGTGGCCTGGTGCCACTCTTGCCACTGGGGAGTAGCAGAATCAGCTACTCTTGGGCGGGGAGTGGAGCGGAGGTGCAGGCAGGGGGCGGGCGGGGGGTGGGGGGCACCAGCCTGTGGATGGAGGTGGGAGAGAGGTGGGGCCTGGCCCTGGCCCTGGCCCTGTGGGGTGGTGGCCACGGGTAGGCCTATGACTGGGAGTTTGAGGCGGGCACTGGGGTCCTCCTGGTATGGGCGGAGCCTGTGCAGGGGCGCGTGGCTTTGGGCAGTGTTCCTGGGTGTGAGGTGGATGGGCTGGTGCCTGGGCTGTGTGCCAGCGTGTGTGCATGTATGTGCGCTTGCTCTGTGCATGTGTGTCGCGTGTGTGTGTGTGTGTGTGTGTGTGTGTGTGTGTCTATGCGTGTGCCTGCGCCTGCAGTGTCTGCCTGGGGTGAGGGCTCCCAGCTTAACACTAACTGCTTCCTCCTCTGCTGCTGCTGCCAAGTTTGAGGCCCCGGGGCCTTTCTCGGAGCAGGCCAGTCTGCTGGACCTGGACTTTGACCCCCTCCCGCCCGTGACGAGCCCCGTGAAGGCACCCACGCCCTCCGGTCAGGTTGGTTGTGCCCACCATTGCCCATGGGCCCACCAGCCTCCAGGTGCCCAACCCTGGGCTCATGTTGCCCATTGGCCATGTGACCCCATCTAGGCCTGGGTCACACTGCCCTTCCCCTGGCACCCCAGCCTTAGGCCCTCATCACCTGCTGGTTGTAGGGCGGGGAGCAGCCCCTTATCAGCTGGGAGAACTCTCAGTAGGAGGTCACTGAGCACCACCCGGCATCTCTGTGCTCATCTTGCATCCTGGCCTGGGGTCTTGAAGCTCCCTGGGAGGTGTCAGGAGCTCAGTCACCTGCAAACCTTGGAGTCTAGCCGACTCTGAGCCACTCCTGCGCCTGCTGGGCTGGAGGGCCTGGGGCGAGCGGGGGTAGGGTCCCTGGGGACTGCTTACCACCCTGTCTCTAACCTCTGTGCTAACTGTCCTTCTCGCCCTCACTGCTGCGCTCAGTCAATTCCGTGGGATCTCTGGGAGGTAAGCTGTGCATCTGCTCTGTGTTCAGCCCCTGTGGGAGCCACTCTTCGTATGAGTCCGGGCCCACATGCCTTGGCCTCCTCCTAGCCTGTTCACAGGTGCACGCACCCCACACACACCCCACACGCAGCACACACAGGCATGTGCTCAAGCACAGGGAGCTGGTGAGGCCGTCCATCTCCAGCCATTCTGCTGCTTCTCCCTCTGGCAGGCCCTTGGAAAAGGGGATCCTCAGTTTAGCTTGAGACAGGGGTCCCCTGAAATCTGGTGTCGTTTTCGTAGCCTATGAGTGTTTGCCTCCGGACAGAAGCGGGCCGGTGACCCAGGATGGACGAGCGTCCTCAGGGTGTGGGGCAGGAGGGCCTCGGGTGGAAGAGTCTTGCCCTCTGAGCTTTTTGGCAGTGGGGAGCTATTTGGGAGGAGGGAGAGAGGGGAGGAATGGATGGTTTGAGAGCGTCAGGGAAGACAGGGTGTGGCTGGGTGCCTTCTGAGAGCAGGGCCTGCAGGCAGGTGCAAGGCCAGCTCACACAGGACCCGTGTCGCTGTCACCTGATAGCTCAGGACACAGAGGCTCAGGGAGGGCTCGGTACTTGCCCAGGAACTGGTCATGGTAGAGCCAGAATTCCAACAGGGTCTCCTGGGCTGTGTCCCTGAGACCCCCTGATAAAGGCAGAGACGCTGGGAGGGGCAGGCGAGTGTGCAGGTGCTCTTGGGGCACCCGCTGGCAGCCCAGGCTCCTGGGCGCTCTGGAGGCTCCACGGCAGGATCTCCCTGTGGAGGAAGCCAGAAAAAGCCGGCCTGGTGTGGGCTGTAGGACCATTTTGACAAGTGGGTTTTGGTAGGTGCTGAGCTTGGGCAGCAGACACACTGCCTGTCCCTTTGGCAGTGACAGGAGAGAGGACGTGGGAGGCGGGTGGCCGGCCGGGCTCTGCTGGTACCCACCCTGCCCCACCAACCCCAGCCGCTGGTGACATCTTCTCTTGTCTTGTGATCCTGCCCATTGTCCTTCCACCCCGGCCTCCCCACCCCCTCCCTGTTCTCTCCTCGTGGCCTGTTACCAGCCCACAGAGAGTCCAGCCGGCAGCCTGCCTTCCGGGGAGCCCAGCGCTGCCGAGGGCACCTTTGCTGTGTCCTGGCCCAGCCAGACGGCCGAGCCGGGGCCTGCCCAAGTAAGTGCCCACCTCCAGCCCCTGTCTGGCTTGTCCCCAGTCTCTGGGGCTGCAGCATGGAAGGAGAGCCCTGAGGAAGGGTTGCAGGAGGGACCAGGCCACCATGGATGTGAGTGTGAGGACAGTGTCCTGAGCTAGGCTGCCCCAGCATGGGCTTGTCACCAAGGCTGCCAGGGGTGAGTGAGCACGGCTGGGCACATCAACCCCTCCTGCTCGCCCACCCCAGCCCAGCCTCCCAGTGCGGCCTCCCAGCTCAGGCCTCCCAGACCAGCCTCCCAGCGCAGCCTCCCAGCGCAGCCTCCCAGCTCAGGCCTCCCAGAGTAGGAGGAGGAGCGTTTAGAGCACCTACTGGTTTATGCCAGGCACTTTCCAGAATCTTCTCGTTTAATCTCCATCGTCACCTTGCCAGCCAGACACTTCCTCCTTTGACAGATGAGGAGATGGGGGACTAGAAGGGTTGAGTCACTTGGTTCCAGCACTCAGAAGTGGCCAAGTCTGAGTGTTGGCTCAGGTCAGCCCAGCTCTGGGGCCCCCGCAGGGCCTGCCATGGTGCCCGTGCTGTGCCACACCCTTCTTGGGTTTGGGCTGCGCACAGGCAGTGCTTGGTTGTGCTCAGGCTGGGACAGATGTGTGCTGCTGTCCCCTGCCATGGACCATCTATAGGTTCAGAAAGCTCCTGCCACCTGCCAGGCCAAGCAGGGTGGGCGGGCGGTGGCTGTGGTTGGGTGAGGTCTTGGTGCCGAGAGGGAAGGGCCTGTGAGGCGGGGTTGGGGGTGGCACTCCGGGGCTTGCACTGGGCTTCTTCACAGCATGCCACTCACATCCCTGGGCCTGCCAGCACCTACTCTTCAGCTGCTTCCCGGGCCCAGGGCCTGACCTGTCCAGCAGGGGCTCCCTGGATTCTTCTAGGCACTGGGCGGCTCTAGACCCTGCTGCCAGCCCGGCGATGCCCCTAGCCCTCTCACTTGGGTGCTGCCCTCCTGTGGCCTGTTTCCTGTGTCCTGATTGTGTCCTGTCGTGTGTCTGACCCCAAGCCGGCATTTATGTTGCAGCCAGCAGAGGCCTCGGAGGTGGCGGGTGGGACCCAACCTGCGGCTGGAGCCCAGGAGCCAGGGGAGACGGCGGCAAGTGAAGCAGCCTCCGTAAGACAGCAGGGACGAATCCCTGCCTTTTCCTCCCTGCCGCCCGCCTGCCTGCCCGGGGCTCCCCTGTGGCCCCTGCTGGTGCTGGTCCAGGCCTGGCTCCTGTTGAGGAAGCTGGAGGCGGGCTGGTCTGGCACCAGGCACAGACACCTTTCTCCCCTCCCCGCCCCTCTTCTCGGTGGCCCTGGCTGTCCCTGGACCACCTCCCTGCCCAGCTGACCCGTACCTCTGCCACCAGAGCTCTCTTCCTGCTGTCGTGGTGGAGACCTTCCCAGCAACTGTGAATGGCACCGTGGAGGGCGGCAGTGGGGCCGGGCGCCTGGACCTGCCCCCGGGTTTCATGTTCAAGGTGAGCCCAGAGCCTCTGACTACTGCAGTCTCTCAGTGCCCTGGTGGGCAGATGAAGACCCTGAGCCTCAGGAGGCTCTGTGGTTTGCCCAAAGTCGTGCGGGCGCTACTAGGTCACTCCCAGCTGGCGAGGTGGCATCTGAGCCCCATCCCGTCCTGCTGCTTTTGAGCACTCCTGGTCTCCACATCGCCACCCGCACCTCCCATACGCGAGGCCCTTGCTCTGTGCAGGGCTGGAGGTGGGACGGAAGGTCTGACTCGACGTCCGCATCCTCTGCAGGTACAGGCCCAGCACGACTACACGGCCACCGACACAGACGAGCTGCAGCTCAAGGCTGGCGACGTGGTGCTGGTGATCCCCTTCCAAAACCCTGAAGAGCAGGTGAGGGCTGGGCGGGGCCGCCAGAGCTCAGGGGCACCGCAGGCAACCTGGCTTCGGCTGGCACCGCCGTGGCAGGGA